AAAAAACTAAAAAAAAGAAAGAAAATATTGGAGAAGTAATAAATTAATAAAGGATAAATAAAATGTAGAGATACAGCTAAAAGAAAAAAAATTTTTAATAAAAAAAGTATTTTTCTAAAAGGCATAGAAAATGTAAAATTGTACAATATGGATAATTAGAACATAATGAATGTGAAGATTATTTATGATATTCAAAATAATCAGAATTTTTAATATCTTTTTTTTATTTATTTTTTAATAAACGAATAAAATAACGAATAAAATATGAATTAATTTGCACTCGACCTTTAATTAGTTCTATTCTCTCTTTTAAATCTAAAAAAGACTGTTGCATTCTGTTGACTGTTTATTTCGTAATGCTCAGGGCCAAATGCTTTTAAATCCGTCACTGATGCAACGGTAAAGCGTATTTTCTCTGTTGCGTCATAAATCGCACTAGTCGAAATTATATCTAAAATCCTTTTTGTATGTTAGTGAAATAAATTTAACTTTTAAAAATATGAGATAATATTATGCAGAATATCCAAAGAAGAAATTGTCTGATTTAAATGTGAATATTGTTATGATCAAAATTTGTTCTGTAAAATAATTATTTTTTTCACAATTTGAAAGTTAATTATATTTTTTAGAATATAGAAACAATGTTCTTTCTTTCTTATTATATAATTAACAACGAAATAATTTTAATAATTAATTCTATATTCTGTATATATATCTTTATGGTGGCTACATTTTACTTTTCTTTTACTTATAATGCAGATATAATTTATAATTCTTCCCGTGTTATTAAAAATCATTATTAATAGGAATGGAAGTATTTTTATTTAAATTAGATTACAAATCTTATAGAATAGAATTTAACTTTTTGATTATTTATGTAGGGAACGTCTGGTGAAGCACGCCTATAAGATGTACCTGAGTCAACAGACTTACTATAGGGTATCAGCTTTAGACACTAGGCTTGGCGGTGCCGAACAAAGACTGACAGATGACTTGTCGGAGTTAGCTAGTTCCGTAGCACATTTGTATTCTAGTTTAACAAAGCCGCTGTTAGACTGTGCTTTAGTCGGTATAGCGCTTATTTCGTTTTCGCACAAAATGGGAGCAAAGACAATACCAGGTAAACTTTTTTGTATTTATATATTAATGTGGATAGAATAATTAATATTTGCTCCTCGATATACGGTGAGATGAACATTTAGATAGGGAAAAAAAGAATTATACAATTAAAAAATTTATATAAATTAAGTCCTTTTAATATCCTTTTTGAAATCTTTATTATGAATTGTTATATTTTATTATTTAGGACCACTATTAGCGGCAGGGGTTATTGCTTTAACCGGGCAAGTTTTGCGTTTTGCTTCACCGAAATTCGGCCAACTAGTTGCCGAAGAAGCGGCGCGCCGTGGAAAATTAAGAGAGGCACACGCTCGTATTAGTGCGCATGCAGAAGAAATCGCATTCTATGGAGGCCACGATACAGAATATCGTTATCTGAACTCCGCTTATAAATCTTTAGTAAAGCACTTGCACCGTATTCTTGCTGTAAAACTGTGGTATGTGATGCTGGAACAGTTTCTCATGAAGTATGTGTGGTCAGGCACGGGACTTCTCGTTATCGCCATGCCGTTGCTTTACAATACAGCTACGTCGTCGGGAAGTGGGATGATTAATACAGATAGCGATGGTACGTACGATGACGCGACCATTACTATTTTTAAACAAGACACAAAGAAAATAGCAATAATGATTATTATAGATTCTAAATAGACGATATTTGGTCTAATTTTATATATTAATTATATTATATTATTTCTATATCTTATAAAAAAAGAAGAAAGGGAAAAAGAAAATTATAATAAAACAACATACAGTAGCTATAGTATAAATGTTACCAGCAACAGTTCAGATGTAGCATTAATATTTTATGATTATGTTTATTAATTAGGTGGCGTTAGTGAGCGAACAAGATATTTGACCACTTCAAAAAATCTCTTGAGCTCTGGAGCCGATGCTGTCGAACGACTGATGTCATCTTACAAAGTATATATCTTGTTTTTTTTTTATTTT